ATGACACTTACGGGCTTTGCTGTTTGCGCGCATACTTTTGCGCGCATAAACTTATACGCATTCGTTGTTATTCCCCAAGTAGGGATAGCTATGGCTATGGGGTTCTTACTGCAAATAATTATAATAATGAGCTGGCTGCGCGCGCTTTCGAAAGGGGGTCGGTGCTGGTGTTGTGGTCCTGGGCGCTGGTGCTGTGAGCTGGCTGAGCGCGCGTTCAAGACGGGCGCAGCGCTGGTCCGGCGCTGGTGCCGCTGCTGGTGTTGTCAGCTGGCATCAACAGGTCGTGGGATTCTGCCTAGCTATCTGGGTCTATGCTGGTGTAATTATGTTTGCCATGTATGCTGTATGACGGATATCATTTTTCCTTGGATAGCGAAGCTATGGGGTTCTTACTTCAAATCACAATGAGTTGCCCGTGCGCGCTTTCGATACAGGTTGCTAGTGCTGGGTGCCGGTGCTGGTGCTGTGAGCTGGCTGTGCACGTGGTGGAGACAGGTAGCTGGCGCCGGTGCTGGTGCTGGGCGCTGGGTGCCGGGTGCCGGTGTTGGTGCTGTGAGCTGGCTGTGCACGTGGTGGTGACAGGTTGCTGGTCCTGGTGCTGTGCGCTGCTGGGTGCCGGTGCTGGGTGCCGGGTGCCGGTGCTGGTGCCTGGTGCCGGTGCTGGAGCTGGGTGCTGGGCGCCGGTGTTGGTGCTGGCACGTGGTGGAGACAGGTTGCTGGTGCTGGTGGTGGTGCTGGGTGCCGGGCGCTGGCGCCGTTGGTGGGAGTTGGCTGTGCACGTGGTGGAGACAGGTTGCTGGTGCTGGTGCTGGTGCTGTGAGCTGGCTGTGCACGTGGTGCTGTGCCGGGCGCCGGTGCTGGGTGCCGGGTGCCGGTGCTGTGAGCTGGCTGCGCACGTGGCGGAGATAGGTTGCTGGCGCTGGTGCTGGGTGCCGGTGCTGGTGCTGTGAGCTGTCTGTGCACGTGGTGGAGACAGTTTGCTGGCGCTGGCGCTGGGTGCCGGCGCTGGTGGTGTAGCTTGCATATGTGAAGGGGTGTATTTTCGGATCTTTTTCCGAGATAGCAAAGCTATGGGGTTCTTACTTCAAACAACAATGAGCTGCCTGGTGCTGTGAGCTGGCAGTGCGCGGGGTGGAAACAGGGTGCCTGGGTGGCGGGCGCCGGTGCTGGTGCTGTGCGCTGGCTGTGAACGTGGTGGAGACATAGCGACAGCTATGCGTTTTATTATTTCAAATGACAATGACCTGGCTGTGCGCGCTTTCGAGACAGGGTGCCGGCGCTGGGCGCCCGTGCTGGCTGAGGTGCTGGTGCTGGGCGCTGTGAGCTAGCTGTGCGCGGCAGGGTGCCGGTGCTGGGCGCCGGCGCCGGGTTGGGTGCCGTGGTGCTGGTGCTGGGTGCTGTGAGCTGGCTGTGCGCGTGGTGCCGGCGCTGGTGCTGTGAGCTGGCAGTGCGCGTGCACATGGTGGAGACTGGGCGCCGGTGCTGGGTGCTGGTTGCGCGCGTGGTGGAGACAGGGTGCCGGGTGCTGGGCGCTGGTGCTGGGCGCCGTGAGCTGGCGCGCCGGTGCTCGTGCTGGCGCCCGCTTGTGACAGTGAAGTGATAACAAGCGCCGTTTCTGACAGTGAAGGGTAACGAGCTGCCGCTCGCAGCAGTGAAGGGCGACCAAGCGCCGCTTCTGACAATGAAGTGCCAGCAGTCATGGGCCGCATGAACTTCTGCACGCAACATCATACGACGATGTTGTCGCTTGAGTTTCTTTGTCTATTAGCGCTGTGGGGTATTTACACTCTTCAGGTTCTGTTTTGGCCGACAGCGGTGACAAGGGCTGTACTGTTTGTGCACGTACTTCTATGCGCAACGTCAGGCACTCAACCGACCATTGTTTCAGCATGTTTCAGCATGCTACACACACAATAGTCGTGCTGGATACTGCTTGGCCTTGGGCGAGTGAAGCCTGTGGGCTTTGCCGTTTGTGCGCGTACTTTTGTGCGCATAATCTTACGCGCGCAAGATCATACGGCCTTATCGTTCTGCAGATCGTTACTTCAAGCATGCTACAAAGTCAATAGTGGCGCTGGATACTGCTTGGCCTTGGGCCAATGACACTTACGGGCTTTGCTGTTTGCGTGCATACTTTTGTGCGCGTAAACTTATACGCGCAAGATCATACGGATGGGATAGCCATGGGGTTCTTGCTGCAAATAGGAATGAGCTGGCTGAGCGCGCGTTTCAGACGGGCGGCGGGGCTGGTCGGGTGCTGGCGCCGCTACCGGTGTTGACAGCTGGCAAAGCGCACCGGTGCTGGTGTCAGCTGATTGTGCGCGCTGTGAAGGTGCCATACATTCTTGTTCCAGCCAGTCGCATGTTAACAGGTCGTGGGATTCTGCCTAGCTATCTGGGTCTATGCTGGTGTAATTTCATATGAATGGCTTCTTCTGTAGTGGTAGTGGTAGTGGTAGTCGTAGTAGATAGATAGATAGATAGATAGATAGATAGATAGATAGATAGA